AAAAAAGGAAAGCAGCCAAGTGTAAAATATTTAAGATATAAGTCCAATAAAAAACTTTGATTTATTTTTTAATTTTCACTACAAACAATATACTACTTGAAAATATTAACACACATTCCGGAGTGAGGAAAAAAACTAACCAATATCATTGGTTGAGAAAAACCAGTAAAATACTAATAATCATTACAATGGTTCCGTAAACCTGAGGGCGGCTGTCTGGAGATTATATAGCAAACCACAGTTATCAGTTCTTCCAAAAAGTCTGGATGGTTCTGCACACACTTCATCCCTTTAATCAAATCATTTAAATTGAACTGTTGAACCATAATATGCCAAAATCAACAGAAGAGTCCATCTGGTTAGCTTAATTTTTAATTGCTAACCTGTGACTTTTCCCAACTCATCTGAAAATCAAAGTTGTAAAAAACAGCCTTGTGGAGTCAAAACACAAAACCTTTGACTCCAACTCCTGTTTTTGGCACCTCTGACTTCCCTTTATGTAATCAAGTGATCATGGCCTACAAATCTCAAAGCCTATGCATACACTCCTAACTTGAATAGGCCTATATCATAACTGGTTTATATCAACAAATAAAGATATTGTGGCTTTTATATCATAGCTATTCATTCTTCAATATTTTTTAACAGAATTAGACAAAATCTTTGAAAGGATATAGAAGAAATAATAAAAATAAAAATGCTATAATGTAAGACTATATATATATATATAGCTTTGCAATTAAGAAATAAGTACAGAACAAAAATAAAACTACTTTATAACAGAAATTGAAATATAATCTTTTACAGGACGTGAAAGGCATAACAAAAAAAAAATTCTATAATGTAAGATTGTCTTTACATATATAGTTTTGCAAATACAAAATAACTACAAAAAATAAAGTGACTTTAAAAATGAAATTGAGATGAATTTCTTTTAAAGGAAATAGTAAATATACAGTAGAAGAATTAACAATAAAAATTCTACAATGTAAGACTTTTTGCTTAAAGTGTAAATTCAACTGGAGTCGGAGTCTGTATAGTTTTACTGACTCCAGTGACCCATTAATTGCTTCTGACCACTCCACAGCCATAGTAAAATATAAATAAAACAGTGTTGTTTATATTTTCTGTATGAGTCAATTTTGATAATGTTTATAGCAAGCCCTCACAAAAACAGTTTGGTGTTGTGTCTCTTTTATAAATGCAATAAAATTAGATTCTTCTCTAAATATGGGTACTGGAAATGTTACATGAAATTCTTAAATACTTAAGTATCATGAAGATGACAATTTTCAAATAAGGTATGATAGCAATGGCCCAATTTAGTCTTTCTGTTGAAAATGGTTTAAGATTCTGCCCGAAGAGCAGGCTTTCACTTAGTATTTTTTAATAGCACAAAATGTGTGCCAAAAGGTTTCTTTTTGTTGTGCATTTTACATTGTTCTTACAAGCAGATGTGAGCAGCATTTATGATATATTTTGTTTTCTCGACAAGATGATTGGGAGGGAGAGGGGAGAAGTAATGCTGCTTCTTATATTTGTAAACAACGTCCTTCTTTGAAGCAATGTTTAACCTTTCAACTATAGACAAAACATTTGAAAATAGCATCTGCTTTGACAGCGTAATAAACAAAGAACCAAAAACATGGCTGTTTTTCTTTTTTGGTGACATAAATTGTCACTCATTATAAGGAGAGGCCAGTTTGTTTAACCCATAGCTCCAAGATAGATTACTGCCTTTTTCCAAGGTGGTGAGTTCAAAATGAGCAAAACAGAATGGCCAGAATTTGAACTCTGGCTTGGTGATTCCACTTCCTGTACCAATTATCATTAGACTCTCTGTATATACATAACTATGAGGAGGCACGGTGGAGGAATGGATAGCAGCTCAGACTGAGAAATCTGAGAGCCAAGTTTGAATTCCAGTCAAATCCATTACATTCTCATACTCTTAGGAAAATTATGAATCCTCTTCTCCTCCAGCTATGGATAAATAGCAGGACAGACCGTGTTCTATAGCCTTGGATAGCAACTGATCTACTGCAGAAAGAAATAGCAACCTACTGCAAGGAAAAAATCTGTCTTCATCACCTAAGCATGTATCACGCATGGCACATAACTGACTGATATCCATAACCAGGTCGGCACAAATAAGGACCTAGTTTTGTTTTATACTCATAACATATCAATAAAAATTAAAAATTTTCATAAACTAACACACCATAAACACACACTAGAATCACATTAGTAGTCACACAAAGATATAGACATCTTTATGTTATATATTAATAGACAGTCAAAAAAGAAATTTAGAGAATTATAGTATAAGATTAATTTCAAACCATCATGATTGGAAATTGACTACTGAGAAACCAAGTACTCAGGCTTGTTCTGCCATGGGGGTAGACCAACGCCTGGACTTGCTCCGCTGCTGAGGCACACACAGCAGCCCGGACTCACTCCTGCTAACAAAGAACTATATAAATAAAAAATATAACTATATAGTATAGAAAATGTTAGACAGAAAAATGATCTTGTAGTAAACTTCTAAATGTCTGCCTGATTTAAGAATGAACTCCCAAAAGGTTACTTCAACAGTAACAAGTACACTCCGGTTCTTGTCTGGATAAGCAGTTATGGAGAAAACAGACTGGCTAGCCTATATAGTCCACTGGGATTTGTCAGTAACAAAATAACTGTATATCAGGCAAAGTGCATGAATGGTTTTCCCAAAAGCACTAGCCTAAAAAAAAAAAAAAACTGTACATGGTCACATTTACAAGATAATGTGAACAGATATCCTAAAATAAGAAAATTATTTTTTAAGTCTTCCTTCTTAGCCATTACAAAAGGAAATATTAAACAAAATAAGAGAGAAAGAAATATACTAAAAAGTCCATGTACAGATTTCCATTTTGTAAGCTAAAATGACATTTAAAGCAGTTATATCTATTACTCTGTGGACCTGACTCCCAAGAGGATGTTTCCCCAATCACTGCAACCTTTACCTGTTCAAGGCTAGGGTTAATTGTTATCTTCCCCTCCTATCTGCAAAAACTGCAAAACTGCCTGTAAGGAAATATTATATATATATATATATATATATATATATATATATATATATATATATAGTAATATATAAGTAATGAAAATCTTGGTAATCCGTATGGATAATCCAAAGGAGGATGAAATCCTGAGAGCTCAATGTTAAGTCAGAGTGAATAATTTAATTTAAAAGAAAAACAGACCACTTTAAGGCTCACTCATCACCCTCTAATTCAACTTATATAAGCAAGCTTAATACTGCCCATCAAAAGTGTAAATTTTAAATTCATTTTTTCATTTCGTCTTTGAAAGTAAAGTCTGCTGATCCAGAGAAAAAGTAAAATTCTCAGGTGAAATAAATTACTATCATGGAGCCTTAAAGTGATCTGTTTTTTTTTCTTTTAAAGATATATATATATATATATATATATACACAGTGGAACCTCAGTTCTCAAATGCCCATGCCAAACAAATCAGTTTTTGAACAGAAAATTCAGGATGAATGTGTCTTGGTTCTCAAACAACATAGCCGAACTGAGTTAGCATGGACAGAACAATTGTCGAGTCAAGCACCGTATTGTATACATTCATGTGCTGTAGTGTGCTTTTCTTTTCCAATTTTATCAAATTGTGACTTTTTTCTCTACATTTATTCCTATTGGAAAAATAGTTTCGGTTTACGAACATTTCAGGTTACAAACAGCTTTCAGGAACAAATTAAATTTGTGAACCGAGGTTCCACTGTATATGAGAGAGAGAATATTTGAGTGTTCCCAGACCCCAAAACAATCTTCCTGCAAGATTTTCATCACAACTGGCAGTGTTGCAATGTTTGCATAAAAAGTACAGCACTAAATTGCAGATTTTAGGACAGATTTGCATGTGGCTTTAACTGCATTCAAAAAAAAAAAAAAAAAAAAAAAAAAAAAGTCTAATAGAAAAACAAAAATATGAAGCAAAACAAGCATAATATTATGTTTCAAGCTTTCCATATCAGCCACAGTAGGCAATGAACTTTAACATTTGACAGAGACTGGAAGTTATTTTCAAGGGGTAGGTGTCTGGAAATATTCAAAAATCTTTCTTGTATAAATTAATGATTATTACTTCTTGGCATTATACAATTTTTGATAAAAGGGCAAATCTATTTTACTTTAGGGATTTAATAAGCATAGTTTAGATATGACACAAAGCGGGAAGTATGGAGCATACAGTGAGAATCAAATTCACTAAGTCATAAAAGATCTACTAATACAAACTTTCTAACCATTATATCACATGATGGTGCTCCTCAAATCTATATTATTGTACATCTGGAAAAATCCTATGGCATAAAGTGAATTTTCAAAAAGCCAGGAAGCATGATAGATTGATTTTTTTTTTTTTTTTAACAGCTTATCAACTATCTGCAGGTTACTTAAAGCAAGAGAACAATTTTAGATCGTAAGAAATTGAGGAAATAATGATTTAGTGATACAAGTCTTAATAATTAATCCATGATTTGGGGGAGAATGGGTAGATGTATACCTTTCCCAAAGTTACTGAAACAACACATCAAGTTAAACCAAAATGTTTACTCAATTTCACTGACAGATGTGAGGTACAAAATTTGATTCTCATAGATAAAGTTCTCAAAGCTCCACAATTTTAAGAGTACTGAACAATACAAGACACTAATGATTTGATTGATTGATTCATTTTCTATAGCTTATCAACCCTTTGCAGGTTATTTAAAGCCAGAAAATTTTTTAGATTGTAAGAATTTTTTTTTGGAGATAATGATTTAGTGATACAAGTCTTACTAGTGAACATATAGATGGAGGGAGAAGAGGTGGATTCATACCTTTCCAAGGGTATTTGCTTGTAAGTGAATATAATGAACACAACTAAAATTGGAACTTTGCTCTCCAATTGATAATGAGCCATGATCCATTACAACAGCCATACATCCATACTTACAGCACCTGGTATTCCAAAGTGGTCACCCATCTAGGTACTGACTAGGCTCAATGTTGCTTAACTTTGGAGATCATGTGAGAAACAGTGTTTCAACCAACCTGATGTGGCTGGAAGCAAATCAGCAACTAGAAAGAACCTGAGGTTTCCTGATAATAATAAAAAAAAAAATTTTTTAAATTTCTACCTCCCAAATTCTTCAGTGAGAATCTTCGCCATGTAAGATACATGTCTGCAATATGATAGAGAAGTTTCTATCATTTGCTACATTCACACTTTCACTGACAAGTAGTCATCAAAATATCAAAATTTCCTTGCTGGGGACAATAAAAGTAGCCAATACAGACCATATACGTTGTGCTATTTATTACTACAATAAAAACTTTCTCCTGGTAAAAACATGGCTGATTTGACTTTCAGTAAAAAAAAAAAGAAAGAAAGAAAAGAAAACCATAGGGACTAATGCAGTAACAAAACTGAGACAACTTACTATGGAACAATTTGATTCCTGGAACTGAAATTATCTCAAAACTATGGAATTATAAGAGTACTGAACAATAAAAAAGATGCTAAAGATTTATTTCTTTAATTCATTTTTTACAGCGTCAACCCTTTGTAGGTAATTTAAAGCCAGAAAATATTTTTAGATTGTAAGAATTTTTTTTGGGGGGGGGAGATAATAATGGTTTAGTCTTGCCGATATCTGAAGAGAGAAGTAATGGATTTATATCTTTTCCAAGATTAAGTGAATATAACAAACCCAACTGAAATTTGAACTCAGTTCTCTGATTAACAATTCTCAGCCATTATCCATTATATCACTAGCACCTGGTATTTTCAAGCAGTTACCCATCTAGGTACTGACCATGCTCAACATTGCTTAACTTTGGTGATTGTACAGGAACTAGTGTTTCAATGTGATATGGCTCTAATCTTTGAAGTCATCTCAAAACTGCAATTATAAGATTATTGAACAATACAAAAGATGCTGAACAGATTTATTGCAGCTGGAAACATTCATAATCCTGTACAATCACTGAAGTTAAGCAACATCAAGCCTGGTCAGTATCTACATAGGTGACCACTTTGGAATATCAGGTGCTGTAAACTTGGATGCACAAGTGGTGTAAATGGTTAATAATGGTTAATCAGAGATGCTGCCAAAAAAATATATCAAAAATTACAACTGAAGTAGAGATATTAAATAAGCCAATTCAAAGATAGCAACAACAGGATTCTATACATATTGCCCCTACATCAGATATTTTTTTTCCACCAATGTCTACCAGTGAAGAAACAACCGATGATGGTTTTAAACCAGAGTGACAGTCTCTAGATATGCTATGGAATTTATTAAGGGTGATGTATCTTCAAACTTTGGGTCATGGTTTACTAATGCCTTTTTATTAAACCCACAAGATATGAGCTTTCTTCATCCAAGCCTTAAAGAACATTAACAATAAGTCAAAAAGAGACAAAGAAAAGGCTAGAGTAAAAGTAACCACCCATCAGAAGCATGTTCAAAACCATGAAAATATCAGCTGCATTGGTGTTATTTTCAGAGTTGATACGGACACTTTGCAATACAAAGAGATTACAAAGGAAAACAGTGAAAATAAATTAAGAAAACCAAAGTACCAGAGCGCCACTTGACTTTCACCAGAGATGGGCACGGAAAGTAGATATCTCACCAACAAAGTTATCCTTAACATTGGTGCAACTGCAGAGAGTGTTGCTTCTGTTTTAGAAGTAATCATCAGTGAAAAATCAATTGAGGTAATTTTTGTGAATAATACCAGTACAAACACTGGTTGTCAGGCAGGGCTTGTTACATCTCTGAAAATGAAACTTAAAAGAATATTGTACACCATTGGTTGCTCACTTCAAAATGAAATCCCACTTAGAGTTGTTTTTAAGTACATTGATGGAACTGCAATAAGTCCTACTGCTTTTACTGGCTCTCAAGGGAAACTTTGTGGAAATGATTACCAAGATTTACCCCAGGTAGAATTTAACATGATCAATGGCTCTCTAGTTACTGCAGGGGGCTGTAGAAGATTTAAGTGGTGAAAAAAAGAAAAGTGAACCCTAGATTTACTGCCTGGAAAACTGGGTCTCTAAATCAAGCAAGATGGCTAACTTTAGCCATCAGGTTAATATGTTTATGGACCAGATGTTCCTATCCACCAGAACTTGGTGATAAATTGTACAGCTATTTAAAAGTTATAATTGAAATATATGCAGTTATTTTTTTTAAACTCCTTTTTGGAACCATCAAAATTTTGGTGAGAAATTTTATTTTTTTTGTGTCAACACAGGGCCATAAATTAGTATGGGTAATTTGAGCACACTTTTATGATAAAAAAACATTGATTTGAAAATTTTTACAAAAACCTGATGTTGGATTTTAATGAAATTTTCTAGACTTATATGCAAATGAATTAAATTATTTTTGAATCTTTTTTTTTTTTTTTTTTTACATCTGTTACTGCACAAACAGTCATTTAATTTTATGAAATTCTTTTTTATTGTACTTCATGTTCAGTTATAACAAGTCCTCAAATTATTTAGATCAAACAGTCTACAAAAACTAAAATTCAATAAAATATTAGAATGTTTAAAATTTTTAAGATTACATTATATATATATATATATATATATATATATATATATAAGTTTTTACATTGTATTTGTCACATAATTTATTCCAATTACCTCCATTTTAAATAAATATCCCAAACATCAAGCTGTCGACAGATGTGTCAAACCCTCATAAAAACACACAGTATGTTAAAAAAAAAAAAAAAAATGCTTTTCTGCAATATTTAAACTAGAATATCTTTTCAATTCAGATTAATTAAACTTTAAATAAACAAATTTTTCTCAAACTACATTTCAGAAAATTATATTTTATTTCTGAAAGATATTAACAATTATGTCATATTAACAGATTTGTCAATATGGACAATTTTAGCTATTTTACTGATAATCAAAAGAAAAAATAATTTAAAATTCAGCAAAGTATTTTGGTTATTGGAAATATTAAATTTATTCTATCAGCTTGAAACTAAAACTAACATGAAAGATTCAAGGAAGAGTTTTCATTTTTAAAACATTTTAAACTTTAAATATCACATTTTTGAGAGGTACATTTTTTTTTTACATTATACATATTTTTTCACATTATATATAAATTTTATTGATGGTACAAAACTTAATAACCACCATAAACAGACAAAATTTATTAAATTCGTATTACCTCTGTTGAGCAAGTTTCGAAAGCGGCTAGCTCATTTTTTCTCTTTTGTTATCATGTGTGAGTATAGATATAAGGGTTATGACTTTTGTAAATTAATTGATTTTCTGTATCATTCGATGAACTTTTGTTCAATAATAATGAAGAAGAGTTTAATTTAGTTTTTTTTTTTTTTTTAAATGTCATCCACAACACAAAATTTCTGAAATTGCATATTAGCAGCACTATAACTTTCTGGAACCTTCTAGAACTTGTTATTTATTTATTTGCGAGTTTGCATGTTATATTATAGCTATAAACTGTTAAATTCATTAAAAATACATGAATACTATCCAATTATATCATAAGCAATATGTAAAAATAAAGCTTCTAAAATGTTCTGATTTTTTACCCTTATTGCATACTAGCAGTAAAGCCCGGCGTTGCCCGGGGATGTAACAGTAAGAGATAGGTCAAGTATCGACCATCAGTCTTTAGACTGAAAAATAAAATTGACAAAGATTATTGTTTAAGGTTGACGGACACGCATGTCTTAATTAGTTTTTTTTTTTGTTTTTTTTTTTTTTTTACGAATTGGTCAAACCCAAACAAAAACATTGTTTTCAATTGTTATAGAGTTTTATTATAAACAATTGTCTTGTAAATGGAATTTTTAAAGCATTCTGAATGTAAAAATAAAGAAAAAAAAATTGTGCAAGACAATAAGAAACACTACCTGCCAAAAAAAAAAAAAAAAAAAAAAAAAAAAGTGAAGTTTTGTTGAAATCGGTTGAAAAATGTAGGAAATCTGATCCCATATATAAACAAACACACACACACAAACAACCTGGATTTTATGATAAGTATAACTCGATATGAGTTGTCCCCCTTTCATTCTCGTGATGCCTCTTAATCGTGTTTTCAAATTGATTTCATGCAAAAAGAGTTGTGTTTTTCTAATTTTTGGCGCCGTCAGAACCACCGCAAGATAATTTTACGTAGTCCTGTGAAGTTTTGTTGAAATTGGTTGAAAAATGTAGGAAATCCGATCCAATATATAAACATACAGACACACACACAACCTGGGTTTTATAATAAGTATGATATGGTAAAAATCAAATTTCAATTTGTGGTGGCCTTTTTCAAGAACTAAAACAAATTAATACCTTTTTCATTGCTTTTGAACAAAAATCCATTGATTTACGACATTATATATATATATATATATATATACACACACACACAAGTTTCCCAAAATACTGTATACATTCTTTAAATATTAAGAGTTAATAATAATTTTTTTTTTTTTTTTTTTATATGGATAAAAATATGCAAAACAGATGGAGGGACAGTTGAATACCCACCTAGATCAACAGATTTGACACCCTTGGATTTATTTTTTGTGTGGATTTCTAAAAGAAAGTTTACAGCAGGAAACCTGAAACAATTGCTGAAATGAAAGTAGCTATTGAAGAAGAATGTGCTCAAATACAAGAGGAAATGATACTGGACGTTTGTAGATCCATTTCTTCAAGATATGAAAAGTGTATTGAACAGAACGGCAACCAGTTTGAGCAATCGATGTGAACTCATCATTATATGAACATTTTGCCACTGTCCCAAGTACCTTTTATCTTATTAAAGTTAATTTCTATGTTTTTTGTATATCTTACTCTCAAATTCTTTAAATGTGTATTCTTTCTTTTGTATTAATCTTATTTACAAGTCAAAATACATAAATTGAATAAGTTATAACAATTCAAAGAGTGTATACATTATTTTAGGACACCCTGTGTGTGTGGGGGGGTGTTGGTCAATGACAGTTCATAAATTGACTTAGATCTCTACTGCAATGTGAATTATTCAGTAGAATGAA